AAAAAGAGATTGTGGATGCTTGTACTAAAGAAACAATTAAAGCTATCATCAAAGACTTGGGTGGTGATTATTTTGAAATACTAGTTGATGAATCAAAGGACATTTCACATAAAGAGCAAATGGCACTAGTTTTACGATATGTTAACAAAAACGGAGAGTTGATAGAAAGCTTTTTGGGTATTGTTCATGTGGGTGATACATCCGCAAGATCATTGCAAAAGTAATTTACTCTTTACTTTTGGATCACTCGTTATGCCTATCAAGACTCCGTGGACAAGGTTATGATGGAGCTAGTAATATGCAAGGAGAAAAAAATGGCCTAAAGTCTTTGATTTTTCAAGATGCTCCCTCTGCATATCATATTCATTGTTTTGCTCACCAATTGCAATTGACACTTGTGGCTCTTTCTAAAAAACATCCGGATGTGAAAATTTTCTTTTATGTTGTCACTAATGTTTTGAATACTATTGGGACATCTTTTAAACGCACGAACTTACTTCGACAACACCAAGTTGAGAAGTTGGAAGAATTGCTTAAATCTGGAGAAATTCTTACCGGACAAGGATTAAATCAAGAACGTGGCCTCCAACGATCGGGTGATACTCGTTGGGGATCCCATTTCAAAACCTTGGAAAATTTCATGATTATATTTTCTTCAATTGCTAATGTGCTTAAAGATATGAAAGAAAATTCTCCACATGATTTTGATAAACTTTCGGCACGTAACCTTTTAGATAAAATTCAAGAATTTGAATTTATCTTTGTGTTGCATTTGATGTTCAAGATGTTGCTTCTTACAAATGAATTGAACAAAGCTTTACAAAAGAAAGATCAAGATATTGTCAATGCTATGGGATTGCTTAATCTTTCAAAGAGAAGATTACAAACAATGAGAGAGAGTGGTTTGGAGTCTTTGATGGATGAGGTTTCTTCATTTTGTGGTAAACATGATATTTTGGTTCCCGAAATGACTGAAGACTATAAAAGATTGAAGTGTAAGAAGTCTGAAATTTCATATTTACATCACTTTCGTGTGGAAGTGTATGTTTTATGCAGTTATTGATTTGCAACTTCAGGAGCTCAATAATCGTTTTGATGTTATGACTAATGACTTACTCCTTGGCATGGCTAGTTTGAATCCGGTTGATTCATTTGCTAATTTTAGTAAGAGCAGAATAATGAAGTTG